TAATAAGGTTACCAATAAGTAAAAGATATTTAATAGTTGTCTGTTTTTTTCATTACTGTACCGAAAAAAAACGAACCGTGACTTGTGTACCGAGGTACGTACCGAACCGTGATTTTTGTGTACCGTTACACCCCTAGTACATTAATAAGGACATGAACAAAAAGATGAACAGACATCCACACACCGGTGCCATTAGGCTTTGCCCTGGACACACCGGACAGCACTAATGCATCACTAACGCGTCCGGTGTGTCCAGGGCATTATGTAGCCTAGTTATGCCTGAAGGCTCGGTGACACAAAATTAAAATTGTAATGAAGTGATTAGGGTATTGAAAAATGTGTTCAATTATGCACTGTTGTGTTATTTTAAATTATAAACACGGTATTTTCTCCTCACGTTCCTCAGTGCGTGCTGTTGTTATTTTATTTTGAAAATAAATCATTATGTCAACAACGCCAAAGACAGTGGATCTTTGACAACGCTACATGAAGCAGATGAATGACTTTTTCTCTGCAGTGTGAAAACGGCAGCCACTTAAACCACTGACTGTGCACTCCGCCGCCAAGTGGACAGGGGTGGTAATTGAAACCGGTCAAAATGACCGACGGCCTTCAGATTTTCCGGTCATTGTTGTAAAGAAACGGTCAATGACCGAGAATATCCGGTTAACGCTACCCCTGATGCCAACATGAAAGGACAGCTTTTTCATCTGTGTCTGATGCCAGAAGTCACCGACCAAGCATCTGTGTTCGAGTGAGACTGGGTTGTAGAAAGAGAAGCAAAACAACAACAAAAGATGCAAAACCATCACAAAGTCTGTGCGCTACAGTGTAGGAGAGGTGGTGGGGCCTTTTGCATATGTGCCCAGGGGCTGATTTTATTGTAATCCGTCCATGTGTGTCGAACTTTCTTGGCTTTGAGCAGTTGAGCAAGGTAACCTGAAACTAGGCCTGACATTGCAGCATGTTACTGCTCCTAGCCAAGAAATCAAACCATCCTTCCCTGAAAAAACGGCAGTAAAGGCTGTTCGTGCAAGCAGCATATTACAGCCCAGACTTGCGTTTATCATTCGGCAGCAACCTCTAGTGGCCTTAGAAATTTAAGCCACTTACTCACCTGGGCTACCTAGGGGGTCAACCCAGTCTCACTTCAAAGCCGTTGACGTCCAAGGCTTGGTCAGTGACTTCCAGCGTCAGACAGTGACGGAAAAAGTCGTCCTTTCACGTTGGCTTGATACGCTGCCAGTTGCTGTTATTGTTTAACAGCACCTGGCGGTCTCAGGGGGAAACGTGGCAGGACAACAACAAAGTTTAGTTGGCGGAAGTCCAAGTAGGGCAGGTGGGAGGGGTGGTGGATGGGTCTGGAAACCACCGACTTTCACCGGGGAGGTCTGTGTTCACTTCCTGTGAGACTGTGTTGGCTAAACGTTACCAGTGTAACAGGCAGAACTTGACACGGCGTCCCAGAACATCAACAAGTAACCATCCAAGGTACCTTGCATGTCATATGTGGACAGTACTGGATAGTACTTTGAAATGCGGAGGTATAGTTAAATACCTGCTAAAGGCTTCTGACAGCAGCGCAAGAAAAGTGCACAGCTTTTCAGAACAGATAATTATCCACCATGTCTTGGAAAATACCAAGATACATGTTTATTTGACCTTTTTTGTAACACGATAAAATGTATCAAACCTCAAAGGGAACACGAGGGAAACAAGAAGTGTCACCTCCTCTTCAGGGTTTTATAATTATTATTTTACACCATGTCATCTTCACTGCAGCAGCAGGTAGTGTTGTTGTGCTGAGCTGATCTGTGCCATCATTAGTTTTGTCCTCTGTCTTTTGTTGCTCTCACCATCTTTGTCTCTTTCTGTGTGTGTGTGTGTGTGTGTGTGTGATGTTGACCTTTGTGCAGGATGAAGCGACAGGATAACGTCAGCAGACTTAATTAGCTTCTCTAAGCTGAACTGTCTCAGACAACACTAATTAAATTTGCATAATAATGTCTCTTCTCATAAATACATTGTTGATATCTTCTGTTAGACACATTATGTTTAATAAGCTAATTTCCTTTATTTATATTGAATCATATTTGTCCTCCACCAGCAGCAGAGCAGCCCGAGGATCAGGACGTTTGTCTGTCTGACACGTTCATCAAGTAATATTCATGGTTTCCAGAGGATGAACCCTGATTTGTCAGGGTCGGCATGATATGCAGCCAGTTGCTGTTATTGTTTAACGGCGCTTGCTGGCGTCAGGGAGAAACGCGGCAGGGCAACAACGAAAGCTAAGTCAGTAGAGGTTTGCGTTGGGCGGCTGGGCAGGAGGGGTGGTGGATGCGTCCAGTAACCACCAACTTTCACCCAGGAGGCCCGTGTTCTCTTCTCGTAAGATTATAAAGTCAAACCCTGTTCTTTTTTCCTAAACCCAACCATGTTTGTTTGTTGTTTTGAAAGAGACTGCATGCAAACTGTAACAGGCGTCCCAGAACGTCAACAACCAATGCACCTGGGATACCTTGGACTTTGTATCTCCATGTGGGAAGTCCATGACCAAACGTCGATATGTGACGAGGTCGGAGTGAGAACGTGTTGGTTTGTTAAACTCCTGACTTTTCCACTGATCATATAATCACCTGTGTTACTAACTAGCAACCCTTCTTTACTTGACTTTCCTCTGTTGAGTTTCATTTCCAGTCTGCTAAAGCAAATGTGCAAGATGTGCACGACTGTTGAAAGCCTGATGTGCTCCAGTCAGCTGTGTGAGAGGACGACTCAATGTGTGAATGGTCTTTGAGGCTTTTAGGGTGCAGACAGTCCTCTCTGCAAGTAGATGTTATTTAGTATGAAGGGTTGTTTTGTACATGGAGAACAAAACACTGTACAATGGTCCCACCAGACTGACAGAGACAAAGATCCCTCTGAGCAGCAGCTGAATAAGAACAGAAGAAACCAGCAGTATTTGGCAAAAGAAACTGGAAGCTCAGCATCAAAACATGCGCAGAGTTAAATATGAACAGGTTCCTGTTTCACTGTCGAGTGCTCACCAATGCCTCGAACAAGCTGAATTAAAGCTCAGGTAGGCAGTTTTATTCTGGCTTGTATTATAAACTTTGAAGTATAAGTGGTCAGAGAGAAAACTAGACTTCTGCTCCTCCTCTCGGCTCTGTTTTCAGGCTTTAAGAATCTAGACCGTGACAGGACACTTTCAGAGAAAGGGTGTTCCTATTGGCTGTTCCACCAGTGCAGGGGTTCATCTCAGTACCTGATCTTGCATCCACGTTTCCCTCACTTGCGTCTCTTCGTCGCGTCTTAGCTCCACCCTCGAAAGACATGAGGGACACATGCGAAGATGAGACACAAGGAGATAAGAAACAGGGAAATATGCCTTTAAATGAGACGTCTTCTCCTCTGGAGTGTAACGTGAAGCGACATCGGTTTTTGATGACGCGGGCAGCTGATCACAGACGGATCAGGCTTTATTAACAGCTAGATTTATTAGAAACCTTTAATGGAGTTTGTGTCTGCACACACTAGGGCTGCAACGAATAGTCGAATAATTGATGACTAATCAACTACTAAAATAATCGGTAATTATTTTAGTAGTCGACTAATCGGTCATTTTTCATAGGAAAGTACTACCCCAAATAATCTTATTGCAGCTTCTTACGTTCAAATATTGGCAGCTTTACACACTCTCCCATGACGGTGAACTAAAACCCTTTGGTGTGAGTACGAAACAAAACATTAGATGACATAGTTTTGGGGTTTGGAAGAGACACACCGACATTTTTCAACATTTTAACACAATTTTCGATAAAATGATTAGTCAACTAATCGAAGAAATAATCAACAGATTAGTTGACAATGAAAATAATCGTTAGTTTCAGCCCTAGCACACACAGAATGTTACATATACATGTAAGCAGGGGTCTACCACAGCAGACAGGACCCCAGGTACAGGCTGTGCAAAGATGCTCCTGAGACAGTTCAGCACATAACAGCAGGGTGTAAGATACAGGCAGGATCAGCGCACACTGGACGCCATAACCAAGTGACTGGCATAGTGTACAGGAACATCTGGGCTGGAAGTCCAAAGGTCAGAATGGAAGACACCTCCTTAGGTGGTGGAGAATGACCGAGCTAAGATCCTGTGGGACTTCCAGATCCAGACTGACAAACTGGTGATGACTGACCAACCAGACATCATGTTGATGGACAAACAACAGAAGAAGTCAGTGGTGATCGATGACAGCAACATCAGGAAGGAGCTGGAAAAATACCAAGGCCTTAGAGAAGAGCTAGAAAAGATGTGGGGATACAGCTAAGATACTGCGTAGAACCCTCAAACTCCCAGGCCTCTGGTAGAGGACCTGAGCTTGAGGAAGTGGTGGTGGGTTTATATATCGATTACAAATCCGAAAAAGTAAACTTTTGGAGGAGAATAGAGAATTTAATAGTGTGTGGACAGCTTCATTTCAGCTCTGTAGCTCCAAATAATCTTTATTATAAAGCTAAAATATGTTTTGTGGCTCCAGACAGATTTTGTTTTTATCGTTTTTTGGCTCTTTTGATTGTAAAGGTTGCTGGTCCCTGTTTTACGAGAACAAGAGGGCTTCTCTTTCATTCAATGGGACCTTAATGGTGTTTCTCCCAGCTTTATCTCCAACCTCTCAGTACCATTCACACCAGGACGTACTCTGAGGTCCTCGGGCAGCAGAGGCTGAAGGCTAAAGGGGACAGAACGTTTGCTGTCAGGGCCCCGAGGCTCTGAAACAATCTGCCTGAGGAAATCAGGTCGGCAGAGTCAGTGATCTCTTTTCAGTCCCTTCTTAAAACGGACTTTTATCAGAGAGCCTTTCCTGATTTTACAAGAGTTTTAAGTTTAAACTGTATTTTATTTCCTCAGTTTTTATACACTAAAGTGTTTTTATCACTTATTTTAAAAGTTGTTTTCATGCTCACTGTGTCCAAGTCACCAACACACACACGCTTCTCACCAGTGAGTCCTCGATGGTGTAGTTGAACATTTTCCTGGCGTCTGTCTTCAGGTTGCGGACAAACTCTTTGTACTCGGGGTTCTGAGGCTCTCGGTACGTCAGGATCTTCACACTCTGAAAACAGGAAGAGAAGAATTTTTAAGGTAACTTTTACTTTCCTGACGAACACGGACTGATCACCATGTACAGTAAATGTTGTTCTATCAGCTATAAGAAATATAGAGAAAAGACATGTTAACAGAATTAACGGAAATCTAAATTTGTAGAAAACATGTTTTCTCATGTTCTTTGATTGCACTTGGAAGGGAAACAGGAAGAGGAGCTGTTGCTCTGTGCTGCATAAACAAGTTCAGGCAGGTGCCGTGTTTGCAGCTGATATCACCAAACTGTATGACATTATTGACTGGTGAACAGTGCCAATGCACTCTGGGGTAGGCAGAGTCATCGGACCTGCTGGCAGCGGTCAAGGTCAAAGCTGCTGTTCAGATGTGGTTCTAAATTTGACATCCTGTCAAAGAAGCTGCATCGGTTGTCCTGAGCTTGACACACTACATGTGATTAAATGAGCATATTTAGTGTTGAGTCGTTAATTTGACATCATTTTTGTCCCCGTGTCCGTCCCATATGTTCCTCTACAGCCAGTAAATTAAGCCGTCTCCCTGTATGCTCAGAATATCTCTATCTAAATTCCTTTCCTGTGAGAAAGCGGCTGAATGTTGCTCTACTCTTCAACCTGTTGTCTCTATAAACACACTGATGTTATTTGAGTGCAGCTCCTCTGTTGTCTTTTGTCCCGGTGACCAGTCACCCTCATCACAGCCTGGCTCATCCTTCATCTTACTCAGTCTTTATTTACCAAAGACAGGCGAAGCTCCACCCTGCCGCTGCTGCTGCATGCTCATTCTGCTCCACCTGCAGAATGACTGCCAGCTACCTCCGTTAGCAGCAAGGCTAACCATACTGTGCTGAATATTTGTGTGACATTAGCAGCACCTGGAACTATATGTTCTTTAATCAGTCTTATCTATACTGAACAGTAAAACTCGTCATCATCGTAATCTCATCTTAGAAATCAGCATTTCCAATGAGTCTGTTGTTTCAGCCCCTCCAGGAACATTCATTCATTTTCCATAACCACTTATCCTGTTAGGGGTCACTGGGGGTGGAGCCTATCCCAGCTGACACTGGGTGAGAGGCAGGGTTCACCCTGGACAGGTCACCAGACTATCACAGGGCTGACACATAGAGACAGACAACCATTCACACTCACATTCACACCTACGGACAATTTAGAGTCACCAATTAACCTGCATGTCTTTGGACTGTGGGAGGAAGCTGGAGCACCTGGAGGAAACCCACGCTGACACAGGGAGAACATGCAAACTCTGCACAGAAGGGATCCCCCACCCCAGGGTTCGAAACCCCACCCTGGGTTCTGCAAATTCAAACAATCCTTGTAAATTCTGCACGACCCTCTAACTTTATCCAATCACTGCATCTTTCTGCCTGTCTGACCAATCATCCTAGTTTCCCCTGTGTCACCAAACTCACTTCCTTGTTTCTAACTGTGAAGATGCAGACATAGGCGACACAAACGTCTCACATTTACCAGGAAAAAATTACTGCTGTGCAAGAACATGTTCTGCACAGAAGGGGGGGTAAACTTGTTTTCACCTCATGCAACGGTTATGTGGGACAAAAACTGAAGTAATTGATTGACATAAACGCCCGCAGAATGGCTGCAACATGTTGACAACAGGCAAAACAAATCACCATGACAGAGACTGCTGCATCCAGATCTGTTGCACGTGCTGAAGGAATCAACGAGGGTCAGATTAAATATGAATGGCAACGTTACTGTAGTGTAACAGTGTTGTCATAATGCTGGAATTTCTGTCTTCTGTAGAATATATTGAAAAGTATCAACATTCAGTACAATTTTAATTAAAGATTCACATCAAAAAATAAATATAACAAATTCTTTAACATGACAGTGATGACTTTTCTGAGAGCAGCAGAGTGACTGTAGTGAACATTAACAACAGGAGAGTGAAGAGTTCAGCTGGTACAGGTGTATCACTATGACAGAAAATGAGTAATGAAACCATTTCAAATATTCAGAATTGATATGTATCAATAAATCAATATTTTTGACAACACTATAGTGTAAATCACAAAGTATTAGAGGCGTGCTTGTGTGATGGACTGTGTGAGCAATATAACAAGACTTTAGGAAGAAGAAGTCTCAAATAAAATGTTAAAACACGTGAAGCTTCAGGAGCGGCACCACTGCATGACAATTTCTCGTCTCTCTGGAGATTCAGTTGTGTTGCCTGAGAAAAATTAGTTCTTTGATAGTTCTGATTGTGCATGTGAAGTGTTTCTCCTGCAGTCTGTCGCTCTACACGGAGCTGCAGGGAGAAAATTTAAATACTTTATAGTCTAAAGAGAAAGAAAGAAAGAGATGGAGAGAGGGAGGTGAAGGAGAAAAACATCCAATGCATCATCTGCCCGACATCGCTCTTTAACACCTCAGACAAACAGAATAGAAGCGCATAATAACTGCTCTGATGACTGAATGATGAATATGTGTGTGTGTGTGTGTGTGTGTGTGTGTGTGTGTGTGTGTGTGTGTGTGGAGGACGGTCAGTAGAGAATAAAACCAATTTCAAAAACTAAAGAGACGACGATGGAGATGTGAGAGGAAGCACTTCAGAGCAACCTGGGAAATCAGGTTCTGTGAGCGACTGACGTCAAACACTCAGAGGGGCTCCGGGTCGGTGTTTAACCCCTCGCCCTCCACACTGAGCAACACACAGCTTCGGTGCTGCGTCTGACACTAAAGTTGACCTTTGACCTTCCTGTGGCAGCAGGAAAAAGGAATTTTAATACTTTAACAGTCCCGGAGAAAAATAGGCTGAGTAACCACAGATAGACACGACTGCTGAAAGGTTTGTTATCTGCTGTTATATCGATGGTTTAATTCTTTAATTTACTAGATTCTGCCCCAAAATTTTGACCAGTGAAACTTTTCAGCAGTCGTGTATTTTGAGTAAAGATTATGTGCATGTGCACCACATTTCAAGTCAGTTTAACGTGAGTGAGATGACAGAAAAGTGCCGTCAGCGTGAGCTTCAGTAAGATGGAGAACAATGGCGGAGTGAGTCATTTCTCAAGGGTTTGATCGATGCTGTCAGAGACATTGTGTTATATAATGGATGGATGATTCATCTTGTTCCTGATTTCAATAATAATAAGAAAAAAACAACAACAATTATTTATGCTGTTAGACCAAAATCAAAACCTCCAAAATCACTGATGACCTTCAATGAAAGGAAGTAATCAGAATTTATAAGTAACTAAAAGGAGACGTGAACATTTAATGACACTCCTGTCAAGTTCTGGAAGAGTTAGTGTCAAGGAGACCAAGGGAGTGCGCAGCATCGCACACAGACGCTGGTGCTGCGGAGAGTTTGCTCTCAGTTTAAATCTTAGGCCTCTAGTTTCCCGGCGCAGCGCAGGGTGGTGAACCCCGCGCAGAGCTAGTTTCGAGCAGCGCAACCCGAGGCGCGCTCAGTTTGGTAGTTTGACAGACAGAGGTGCGCTGAGATGGGTGTGGTAGCGCAGCAGGGGGAGGTGTCGACAGATCCAGCTTGGTACAGTGACAGTTTCGTGCCAAAAGGCTTCGCCGAAGGTGCACTAAAAGCTCGCCAGCTGAAACCAGGTCTACTGTCAGCGTAGGGGGAGCGCAACCAGTGTAAGTGGAAGTTTGGCTGACCGGCGGACAGTGCGCACACGTCACCAAAACCTCACAGGCAGGTTTCCAGAATATCAGGCACATTAACGATGCAATAAATAGCCACAAAACCACTATTCAATGCAACTATCTGCAGTCAGCACATAAATGTATCTCTGTATCGACTGTCCCGTCACATCTGATGTCAGATCAAAGGGGATTGGCACCGTTTGGCACGTTTGGCACGCGTAATGGAAACCCAACCTGATTTGATTAAACAGCTGCAAACTAATGAGTTCACATCCCTCTCAGCCAACCACAAACAGCCACAGCATCAGATAGGGAGTATATATTCAGCATCTGTCATCGTAGAAAAGTCAAAAGAAAAGAAACTCCTCCCAGGCTACCTTTGCATCATCAGCCCGTGGAGGTCTGCTCGCAGTTCCGTATATTCGGACACTGCGAGCAGACCTCCCGGACCAAAACATCAGTTTCCTCCTGGGAGAAGTTTGGCCATCTGACGCTGCTGCTCTCTTCTGCCATGGTGAATTGAGTAAACTCATTACGCCTTCATGCGGCGCATNCGGAGCAAAACATCAGTTTCCTCCTGGGAGAAGTTTGGCCGTCTGACGCTGCTGCTCTCTTCTGCCATGGCGAATTGAGTAAACTCTCATTACGCCTTTGCGCGGCGCATTTAAGGGCGAGGAGAGGGGCTCATTTGATAGATGGGATGTGTGTAAAACCCACTCCACGCCTTCTCTCCTCCCTCCTTCTGACTTGCGCCGGTAGGAGGGACGGAGGTGGGAAAGAAGAGTAGCTGCGCCAGCGCGCACGGTGTGCCAAACTTGCAAAATCCGCCTGGCCACACCCAGTTGGCGAAGCGCAGGTGCGCTGCGCCTCCACCTCGCCCGGTCTGTGAAACTAGAGGCCTTAATCTGAAAAATCACAACTAGGTCAGGACACCTTTAGTCAAAGAAAACTTTATTTCCATTTGCAGTATTTTGGTGGTATGGCTCTGTTCTGGGGACTCTCTGCCTGAGGTGGTGACAACACACCTCCCTGCCGTTCCATGTGTAAACTGTCTCCAACAACAGTGAGCTTAATGATCTGTTGGCAGTTCCCGTCTGCAGTGTACAGACAACTTTCACTGGATCACTGTGATACTGAAGAAAACTTAAAGACCTGATGACTCTTAGCGACTTCTGCAGCCTCTTTTTTTCTATGGACATTTATTCTGAATGTGCATCAGAGATAATATCATCCGCTGAAAGTGTTAGTGACACTGAATGATATCAGAATGTGCTTCATGTCTGTGTGTTCACATTTCACTGAGTGCCATTTTTGACTCAAATTTTCCCTTCTGCAGTATTTTACCTCCCCTTCAACTCTCTGCTTCTGATAGCTGAATCAATTATGGATCCGGTTTGGCAGAATATCCTCAGTCACAGAAGTCAATTCATCTCTTACCTGTCCTCATTCTTTTTCATGAGAAAAAAAGCCATGTAGAAAACCTTTAGGCCCAGGTGCTGCTCGTTGCTGTCACCAGCACCAGCAGTCCCTAATGAACACTAATGAACTTCCATTCTGTAACGACTAAACTGAAAAGTTTTCCTGTTTATTTAAAGTTATCTCTGTTGACTGATAAGACGTCAGTGGGCTCCAGCAATTATTTCAATGTGTCAGATGCACTCAGTCAACACTTTGATATCCGCTGCTCGCCTCATTCTCAAGTTGGAGCTGCAGGTTGTCAACATTCATTAGACTGACACTCAAAGCTGATTCTGCCTTCTCACAAAACAAACAGCCATTATTGACTTTAAGTTATTAAAGCTAAATGTTAGAGTTAACCTGGTCTGATGAGGGCTTCAAAGACATTCTGATTGGTACTAAGGGGCCCAAAGTGTGCCAAGAAAATCTCCCCCACACTTTACATTACACCACCAGCAGCAGCCTGAAGCGTTGATACAAGGCAGGATGGATCCATGCTTCCATCTGAATGTGGTTTTTCCAATCTTCTATTGTCCAGTTTTGGTGAGAAAACCCGTGTGAATTGTAGCCTCAGTTTCCTGTTGTCAGCTGACAGGAGTGGCACCTGGTGTGGTCTTCTGCTGCTGTAGCCCATCTGCTTCAAGGTTGGACAAGGTGTTGTTGCTTCAGAGATGCTCTTCTGCACACCTTGGTTGGAACCAGTGCTTATTTGACTTCCTGTTGCCTTTCTATCATCTTGAACCAGTCTGGCCATTCTCCTCTGACCTCTGGCATCAACAAGGCATTTTGGCTCACTGGATATTTACTCTTTTTGGGACCATCCTCTGTAAACCCTAGAGATGGTTGTGCTGAAAATCCCAGTAAATACTCAGAACAGCCCGTCTGGCACCAACAACCATGCCAAGTTCAAAGTCACTTCAATCACCTTTCTTCATCATTCTGATGCTCCGTTTGAACTTCAGCAGCTCGTCTTCACCATGTCTACATGACTAAATACACTGAGTTGCTGCCACGTGATTGTCTGATTAGCTGCACTTTCACCTATACCTAGTGTGCCCTGAGTGTGCCTGTGATCTGCTTGAGCAGAGTTCGAATGCACATGTGTGGCCAGACACGCTACTAAACTGTGTGTAGTGACGTGTTTTAAATTGTAACGTTTTAGTGCAGATGCATGTGTTTGTGAAGTACTGAGGATACGAGTGGATAAATGAGACTTGGATTGTTCTTTTTGGATTCGGACTTGGACATGTGAAGCTGGTGACAGTTTTATGTGCTCTGGTGAAGTATTTCCACACAGCTCATTGTAGTTGAGCACTGGGATGAACAGCCAGGTTTCTTTCTGCTTCATGTTGCTTTAGCCCTCCACACTGCACGGTGTTAAAGTCACGCATGACAGCTATGACTCGTCACAACTCAGTCTGACATGGAAGTAGTCGAAACCGGCGCTTGGTCAATGAATTTCAGAGTCAAACACCGCCGAAAAAAGCTGTCCTTTAACTTTGGCATGGTAGGTGGCTGGTCACTGTTATTCTTTAAAATGCATTTCCTGTGAAAACAGAAGTGTATTTTGAAAACAGACAATGCATGTAACAGGCTGAAGTTGACACGGCGTCCCAGAACGTCAACAACCAACACACCCAGGGTACCTTGGACGTCATATGTGGACATGGAAAGTCCATGACTAAACATCGATATGTGACGAGGTCGAAGTGAGAATGAGTTGCTTGTCAACAACAGCTAGCCACAACACGCCAGCTGCATGTCTGTCGATGTATCGCCCCTGCTTCATTACTGCACTGTGCTAAAACCACAGATGAACAATTAGTCTATGATGACGCACAGTGGTGACTTGTGCTTTTGATGGCCCGCTTTTTTGTGAAACTCTTAGTACCTGAAAGGCCTCCTTGGCCACGGCGTCGTCCTCGTCTCCACGGGCCCACGGCTGCCCATGTGTGGAGTTCAGACTGTCCCCGAACACGTCGATGTAGAAGAAGACGAACTGCTCATGAGGGAGATCTGCCCGCCGAAACTCAACCATCAACCTTCTGAAGACGTCGGGTGAGCAGCAGAGAAACATCACTGTGAGAAAAAGGAGAGACGGGTTTCAGTCAGTCACAGTGGCTCTAATTATATTGACTTTGGTGGGACAGAGAGACAGTGTTAGGTGAATGGTTACTTTTCCAACACGTGGATTGGCTAAAAACATCACATGACTGCACCATGTAACAAATAAATTGAAAGGTCAGAGGTTGAAGTCGAGTCAATCAGCTACACATCCCAGAGATCACTGCTTTAAGAAGCTTCTCATCAGAGAGCTGTGGGGACGGCTGAAGTTAGAGCTTGACTCGGTGGATAAACTCAGCAGCTGGAGTTCAGAGTTTCGTTCTTGTTGTCTGTGAGAACGTGTTCTGAATATGCAAAAAAACACAACTGTGGTGTTAAGGTCTGACTCACTGCTTTAATTCGAGGGTTTATACATCGACATCAGACGAACTGTGAGATATTTTAGACATTTTTATATTTAGTCCCCAAGTTTAGAGAAGCAACTGATTAAACCGGTCAAGCAGATATCCGTAGGGATGGTAACATGAGACCTTTCTAAAAAGAGGTCAGAAAAGTTGGAGGGAAATATTCAGGCTATGCAAATTTATTAGAAAAGTAAAACTACGACCCAAACATCCACCACAGTCTACAGAGCCACTTCCTGCTTCAACTTTAACCATTCTACTGTTTGGCTTTATGTTTGCTGTTATTGTTCTGATGCACGATGAAGAATTATCCTAGTGAGGATAAATATAATAAAACAGGATGAAGGTAAAGCTGGATTAAAAACATCACTAAGAAAGAGAATCAAAACAAACTGAGCTACGTTCACTGGCAGCTGTGACAAACTAGCTCCACTGTGTCTGAAAGGTTCAGGTGTACGGCTTAGATCACAATCTGCTCCATGTGTTTGTCTTGTGTCCTCATGACGCATGTTTATTATTCAGTGCAAAAACTTCTGAATATAAAAAAAAACTTAAAAGATGACAAGCAGCAACTACGAAAAAATCACAGATCATCAGTTTTAACGTGGACACCCAAGATTAGTGTCACCATTTGTCCAAATGTCTCCCCTTGTTTTCCTGAGATATGACGTGTAATAAGGGACAGAAATACACATTCCCAGTGCTGGAGCGCACTCTGACACAAACTGGACCGCTCATAAATTGGGTTATCCAGAGCAGCGCACTCTCAGAGTGGCAGAGCGCACTCTGGACACTCTGTCTGTGGAGACGGAGCAGCAGAGCGCCGAGCGGAGTGAATGTGTGATTAACTTAACCGTTGGTTCATTCATGTAGAAATATAACGCTGCGTTTCTTCCACCAACAGGGCTCTCATTTTAGTGTAGAGCGTCAGACTGAATTTACCAACGCACCATGTCAGGTCACTCACTCTCCGGGACCGCCAGTGTTACTTGAATAAGTAAACACTGACCAACGGGACCAGACTGGCCGACCCGTATGCTCTCACTCAGTGGATGGATGATGTCACAGGAAGCCAATGTTACAAAGGAGGACCACACTTGTTTGTTTTGCTATGGAAGCTAACGTTAGCTAATGTGCTAAAAAGTTAGCGTTACAGAGAAATCCAATATTCCTCTTAATCCCTCCCCAGTTTCTGATGAGGTGGACATGATAACCCTTAATACACATAACATTATTCATCCCTACAACAGGAAATACTTTTTCCCTAACCTGAAATGAAGTGTGCGCTGCACATGTGAGCATTTTTGATGATGGCCTCCGTCCAGTCCTTTGGTCTTATCACATTTAACCACAGTTGTCTTTGTTTTTGTTGACGGGCAGTGGCGGCTGGTTTTGAGCCATGACTCCTTCTATTCTGGCTCCCAATAACACAACAAGACATACACATTTTTACACTCCTGTGGAGCCTACAGCCCTGTGGGGGAGAGGCAGCTGCACCTCCAGGTGATAAACTGACACTGTGACATCGGCCCTTAAAGGGTCTGTTGGGCCCCAAACTGTCTGGGATCAAACAGCCGTGACAGAACAGAGCAGTGAGCTGCTTCAAACATTATCACAAGATTCATGCAGATCTGCAGCCAAAGTTTCAGACAACTGCTCCAGAATAGAGAACCGTGTTTTCACACTAAAACAAATCATGGCTCAGTGGGATCTGCTGTCCAGGAGGGTTCACACCTGTTGTTTTGGTTTGGATCAAATTGAAAAGTCTGAGAGTCCAGACCAAACAAGGCAGGAATGAAAAGGCCCTGAGGGTCATTGATTCATCTCAAATCAAATCGTGGAATACAGAGCACAGGCAACCGAGGAGCAGGTTTTGTTTTAACATTCGGGGACGACACATTTTAATCAGGGGTTTGGGTTCCTCCCTCAGCATATTTTAATCATCAAACACTAATTTTTATGCACCAATTTGTGCCTTTTCTGCATCAGTTTATAGACTTCAAAATAAAAGTCCTTTGCTATTTTCATGTGGGGAACAAATGCTTCTGTGAGCAGCCAAACCAGCTGCATGTTTGAGTTAAAATTTAAATTCAACTTCTTCGAAGTTTTCCAGCGAGATGTTTACTTTTTAAAGAAGACAGACAGACAGACAGACAGACTCTTACAGCAGGGCTGAGACTCATTACAGTGACAAAGTCATCAGCGAGCTGCCATGCTGCTGACTCAGACCCCGACCCAGAGCAGCAGGACGGCTCTCATCAAAATGTCCTCTCTACAATCAGACCTCAAAATAAAGACTTATTTCCTCTGCTGTGAAAGGAGTCCTCGTGTGTTTTGTGAATGGACGCTGTCGATCTGAAGCACGACGAGAGGAGAAAACAATAACCGATAACAACATGGAGGCCACCCAGAGGGACTCAGACAGCTGGAGGCGAGATTAGCTGCCACATCCACCGCAACTGATCACACTGACTCATCTGTCAGAGAGGACATCAATGGGATTTATCACAGTGTGTGTGTGTGTGTGTGTGTGTGTGTGTGTGTGTGTTGCTCTGAAAGGCCTCTCTGAGAACATCAGCTGTTCTCCTTATGCTGAGGAAAATCCATTGAGTCTTCAGTGGCTGATATTTTGTATCAAGACAATCAATGATATTGATGGAGTTTATCGGTGAAAAGACATCGCAGGGCTCTGAGGTTACTCTGGAGATTTTGTCACTTTTTGTCATTTTGTTGTTTCCTTGTTTAAAATAGAAAATAATCAAAATGGGAAACGGAGGCGGTAGGGTTCTCTCTCAGGAGGATGACACAGGGTTTATGAAATACAGTGAAAAACTACAGGTTCCTTTATTTGGAGGGACTTTGTTGGAAGAGTTTGGTTCGGCTTTTCATTACACCCCAACAGAAACGACACAGAACCAGCGACTCAGATCGCTCATTCAGATACTGCCATTCCTCCCACTTGTTCTGTAAAGAACAGTTCACTCAAACACTACTTGTTTTATTCTGGAGATCCTGAAGGTTTCTATTTAATCACAACAATGCAACTAAAACCGTAAACACAATTTCCAAAGCAGGATTCGTGAACAAATTGCTACACAAAGTGCGATAACATGCAAGAGCAGAATCTTAACATTTACAATAAAATAAGGATGCATTCAATTAAACAGGAAAAATTCAATCACACACACATCTCATGCATACATATTGGTCCTGTTCACAACTGCAGTGATTGTGGGGCCTCATTTATAACCTGGCACGTGCACAGATGGACCTCAGGTGGTGATCAAGCACCTGCCCTTCAGCCCTCTGTCTGGATAGGTGCCCTTTCTGCAAGACATGTTTTCTATTTCTTTTAATAATTTTATATTTTCGTCTTTAAATTTGGCCCTTGGCATCAATTCTCAATTAAAAGAGTGTTTTTTGTCCATTAACTGCATTTCAGTCGAGCCCCTGCCCCTCACTCTACAACTTCTCTTGTGGCAGTCGCATGTAAATGGAGCACCCTGCAGAGCAGCATCACGTCTCCATGACCTGCCTCCATGCACACCCAGGTAACGACAGTGTTTGCCCTGAGCCTCGGCACTGTGTGATGATAATGTGAAATTAAACCACTACTACAACATCTCAGTACAGCCGGTCTAAACAACAAGTAAACTTCACTGACCTCCTCCAACTCTCTGGCAGATTCAGGTTCACCAGTTGCCCGGTGTGAGCACAGACAGACACTAAATTGCTTTCCCACTTCCACATGTCTTTTTAAACCAAAACTCAATTTGAAGTTTGAAGTAAACAGTGCAGAGGAGGAGGAGGAGGAGCGCAGGATGCACGTGTCTGTTCTCTGGGATTCTTGGACAATATTCAAAGCTTATTATAATCAGTACATGACTATTTAAAAGAAGAAAGGATGAGAAGAGGATGAGGGGAGTAGGAGAACAAATTGAGAAGAGGAGAGAGAAGAGGAAAGACTTTCTTGGCTTCCTCCCACATCTGAGTCTCTGTGTCGGAGCTTCAGGAAGTCTCCAGAGGCGTGATGATGACATTCCTCCGGCCTGCCGTTCCTGTCCCACCACCTCTATTGTTTCAGGCTTTAATAACCTCTATACAGGAAGTGGACGGTGAAACCACAGAAACCATATGGGGCTAAAAGCTCTCTTCCGATTGAAACTGAGCTCAGAACTCCGTCCCTGCAGCCGCCGAGGAGTTTACAGTCAGTCTGCTGACACTCAATCGCTGCTCTCTGTCCCTCCCTTTTACCTAGACTAAAAATACGGATCTAAAAATACTCTGTGACTTCTGCTTCTTGTTTCTTTACCAAACACTCTCAAAACTTCATTCATCTAGGGACGGTTTGCTACTGTATCAGCACTGTACGTACACACACGCACACACACTATGAAGCTCAGTGTAAGTTCAGCCAGGAGGACTTTCTTTATGCGACATTCATTCACAGCTCTCTCTATCCCACCACTCCCACCAATCAGCTGATTATAGGTGTGCCCTCTCATGGTTAGCCAATAAAACTTTGCCACGATCTCCTTCAGCCATTCATGTTGCTGCTGCCAAACTTTAAATCTGTTCTCCTCTCTGCTCCTGTCATCGCGCCCTCCTCAA